CCAAAGGCGGTATAGACTGGTGGAGATATCAGAGCTGCGTTCTGATCCCAAAGCTGATTCCTTTCGCCAAAGAGTGCCTCCAAGATAGGCCTCAGACCGTAGTTATGGAGGATAAGGCACCTGGGCACGCCCACCAGTATCAGAACGTTGTCTATAGTCTATCCAACGTCGAGAGACTACTTTGGCCTGGCAACTCTCCAGACTGTAACTGTATTGAGCCATGCTGGTTCTACATGAAGAGAGAGACTACAAAGAAAGGAGCTCCACAGTCAAGAACGGAGGCAACTAGAATCTGGCTAAATTGCTGGAGAGATCTCCCACAAGCTAAGATCCAAGCTTGGATTGAGCGTATTCTTATACATATTCCAAAGATAATTGAGCTACAAGGTGGTAATGAGTATATAGAGGGGAGAGATAGGCGTTGTGTAGGAGAGCGGCCAGATTTCGGCTAAATTATTCTTGGCAGGACAAAACTTTTGTGAGGCACCTCCGTACCTGTAAGCAAAAAAGGCCATTCCCCACTTTCTCAAGACGGGAAACAATTGGTCCTCTGCACTGCGAATGATGGCGTTATAACGACCCTGATAAACACTAGGCCGAACCCAGCCATTACGGTGGCAAATTTCGCAGATTTGCTGCACCTCGTCTGCCGTGTAGTTGCTTAATCCGAAGCGCTTGAAGCGACCGCGAAGATATTGCTCGTTCATGGCAGCGCAAGTGTCCTCCCAGGGCGTAGCACGATCGGGCGAGTGCAGGTACATGATGTCAACGGCGTCAACACGCAGAGCAGCTAGGCTGGCAGAGACGGAGGCAGCAATCTTGTCGGGCGAGTGGGAGCCCGGCTGCCACGAGGTGACCTTTGTGGAAATGTTTGCCCAGGCGCCGGCATTGCAGAGGCCCAGGACCAGTTCAGCAGAGCCTGGATTGCCCACGGGGTAGGCACGGGCTGTGTCGAGGGCGGAGATGTGGTGGGAGCGGAGCAACTGGAGCAGTGGACGAGCGGCTTCGTCTGAATCAAACTTGGCCTGGGGGGTGCCGGTGCCAAACGAGGCGGTGCCCAGGACGACATTAGGCGGAGCAGCGGACGAGGTGGGGTTAGGCATGGTGGATGGTTTGGTGCAAGCCAGGGTGGATGAGGTAGGAAAGGGGTGCTAAGTAGTCGTGGGCCATGGCTGTATGTAGTACATTGTACTAGAGATAAGCAGTAGGCGTGGCCGGGAGATGCACGTCATTACCGTAGACGGTAAGTCGTAGCAGAGAGGGCGGCGCAGCGAGCAAAGCCGGTGGCTCCGAGTCGACCATGGGCATCGGGTCTGGGATGCGGGAGGGAGGGATGGAGGGCGCGAGGGGAGGAGGGAGGGAGGGAGGGCGTGGGGGACAGGGCGTCGGCGAGGATGAAGGAGGGTGGGGCGGGGAGGGCGAGGGAGGGTGAAGGAGGGTGACAGAGGGCGGATGCACGTGGACGGAAAGGGAAGGAAGCAGCGATGCAGGGGCGAGGAGGGGTCCGAAGAGGAGCATGTCTTGGCGCTGTGCCTGCCGCGCGCTGCTGGGGCTCCCACTCTTCGCACTTTGCACGACCTCATGCTACTATAAAAGCCAGGGAACCGTGTCTAGCTGGATTGGGGCTAGCGCTGTTCGGATGCTTGTGGTGAGGTGGTAAGTACTCTGGCAGCTGGCGGCTCTTTGGTGGTGGTGTGTTTTTTTTTTGCCGGGGCTCTCTGGCGGCGCTCCCTGGTGGCTCTTTGCTGGGGCTCTTTGCTGGGGCTCTCTGCTGGGGCTCTGCTGGGGCTCTGCTGGGCCTTCCCTGGCCCCCAATGCACCTGGAACGCGCCGACGGCTGCGGACCGATTGCCCTGCCCTGCCCTGCCCTGCGTGCGTGGTGCTGCGAGGCAATGCTGAGGCTGAAGGCTGCGACAGATGCAGCCTTGGTTGGTCACTGACTTGGTCACTTAAAAGCCGCCTCGACCGTGGAAATGGCATTGCCATAAAGGTAGCCGGTGCCCGGAAGCATCGCCCTCTGTCCCGACGACTCTCGATTGCCCTCATGGACGCCTCGCAGTCGAGGGCCCGCCTGCGCAACTCGTGCGACGCGTGCAATGCGGCCAAGGTCAAGTGCTCCAAGGAGCGGCCCTGCTGCCGTCGCTGCGACCGCCGCAATGTGCTGTGCGTGTACAGCGTCTCGCTGCGGCCGTCGAGACGCCAGCCGCATGCCGAGCTGGACCCTTCTTCCACCGCCGCCCACGCCGCCGCCGCCCAAGCCGCTGCCGCTGCCGCCACCAGCACCGCCACCGACGCCGGGGCCGAGTGCGACTTCTCGACCGCGACCGACGTCAACTCGCTGAGCCTGCCCGCCTTTGACGACTACTTTGATGACGTCATGGCCGGCATGCCGCTGCTCTCTCCGCCGCAGCACCACCAGCACCACCAGCACCAGCCGGCGACGACGACGGCGACGGCGACACCGCTCCAGCTCCACCATGCACACTACGGCCAGCCCCATCCGTACCATCAACACCCAGTCCACGTCCCAGTCCACCACGGCACGACGCCGCCCGCGTGCGGCTGCCAGCAGCTGATCCTGGCCAAGCTCTCGACGCTGTGCCCCACGGCGGCCCCCAACCAGGGCCTTCCCTTTGACCGGGCGCTGTCGGAGAACCGGTCCATCGTGGCGCTGTGCAACAGCACGCTCGACTGCGCCTTGTGCGCGCGCGGCGACGACGCGGTGCTGCTCTTCACGCTGGCGGCGCTGCTGGCGCACGTCTTGGGCGTGCTCGACGCCCTGTTCCGCGCGCGCAGGGAGGCGCTGCGGCCACGCGAGGCCGACGCCTTTGCATACGACTCGCTGCATCTGCTCACGCCTCCCCCCACGGCCCCGCCCACGAGTGCTGGCACGGGTGGCAGCGGGCAGGCCACGCACGCGGCGGGCCTGGCGGGCGAGTGCGCCGAGTGGAGCGAGCCGCAGCCGGCGGTGCGCCTGAGCCTGGGCAGCTACGAGCTCGACGAGCGCGACGAGCAGATGCTGCAGATGAACCTGTTCAAAATCGAGCTGGGCAAGATCACGGCCCTGGTCGACGCCTTCGAGGCGCGCCTTTCGCGCCTGGGCGCCGGCCCGGCCAACGACACCAAGCTGCACCAGGACATCACCATATACCTCAAGCAGCGGCTGCGCGCCAACGTCGACGCGCCCAAGCTGCTTGCGCGGGCCAACGGCTGTGTCGATATCTAGTCATTTGGGGCTATCTCTATCTACCTAGGGCTCCCACACGGCTTCGATGATCCACAGCAGGCTGTACTCGGGCTTCGTGGCCCCGACAAACTTGAAGCGTGCGTCGGCGGCGTGGAACAGGCCCGCCCACTCATCGACGGTGCGCTCATTGCTGTTGAAGCACGCCATCATGCACAGGTCCAGGCACCGCAGCAGCTTGTCGTCCCAGCTCGACACGCTGCCGGGCTCGGGCAGGCAGCCCTCGTTGATCAGCACCTTGGCCCCGGGCTTCAGCGCCGGCACCAGGTTCTTCAGCAACTTGACGACGTAGGCATCGGGCCAGTTGAGGAGCACGGACCGGAACAGGTACAGGTCGGCGCCCTTGACGGGCTGCTCGTCCTTGAGGTCGTGGCCCACGAAGCGCACCCGGTCCTTGAAGGCGGCGTCGAGCATGCGTTCGCCTTCGGCTGCTGTTCCTGGCAGGTCCTCGACGACAAAGTTAAGCTTTGGCGCCGCCTTGGCGATGGCCACGCTAATGTGTCCGTGCGAACCACCGAGCTAGTACCACCAGTGTCAGCCCCGGCACGCGCCAACATGGCAGGAAACACGAACACGAAAAAACACGAGGGCCACTTACATCGACGACGGTGCCGCTGCCGAGCGCCTGCCAGTCATAGTTTTCGACCAGATGTTCCACCTTGTGGCTGGTGCCCTTGGAGAAGTTGCCCATGGCGCTGCCAAACACGCGCGCGCTCCGGCCGCTCGGCCAGGTAGTCGAAGATGGGCTGCCCGCCAAACGCCAGGGCGAAGGCGCCCTCTTTGGGCTCGTGGCCGCCTGGAAACCGCCGGAGCGCCTCGACGGCCTTGACCGACGCCGGCCCCCATTCCTCAAACGTCATGTCGAGCCAATCGCGCACACTGCCGCCTTGGTGCAGCGCAGCCGATGCTGCCGTGTGCGCGATCCGACCCGGCGCCGCCTCTTGGAAACAGTGGTAGATGGTCGCATGGCGAATCAGACGAGTGACGAGCGCCTGCGGCACGCCCGTCTTGTCGGCCACCTCGGCGAAAGACGTCGTGCCCGTCAGAGGGACGGCTTCGGCAATCTTGATGTGCATGATGGCGTGGAGGCTGACATTGTCGTTGTATTGCTGCCTGCGCGTCAGTCTCATCTAGCACGACGCCGCCATGGCCAGTGCCCAGAGAGGCAACTCACGTTCCATGCCTTCCACCTCAGATCCTCGACTGGCCCGAGCGCGAGGCTGGCCAGGTCTTGGGCTGCTTGGAGCAACCTCAACCTCGATGCTTGCAGCTCGTGGTCCTCAACCGGAATGGGCAGCTCGGGGGGAGCACCGACTTCGAACGAAGGGTTGGGCAGGTTGTTCTTGACAATGTAAGCAGAGAGCAGAGCGCTTGCCTCCGAGATGGTGGCTGCGAGGCGCGTAAGAGACGTCATGGCTGTAGAATAGATGGTGCAAACGCGAGGCTGTAGACAGTGAATCGAGCTATCAAAAAAGAAACCTTGCAGTGCCAATGGGCAATACACGAGAAGCCTCTCGCCTTCTTAAACGTTGCATGTGCCCGCCGTCTCCCCATCCAAGACCACGGTTGACCTGCGCTTCGGTGAAGTCAACTTGGCCACTGTCTGGAGCATGCTACGGCCCATCCAAGACACGCCGGTGACGGCACTCGTCGTCGCTGTTGGCAGCCATGGCGGCGACGACAAGCCTCGTCCCAGCCGCCATGGTACACCTTGGCCGCCGTGCTAGCGCCCTCGCCCACTGCCTGGCGGCGCGCGCTACACAACACCACCCGCTATTTCCCCCCCCCCCCTGCACGACCGATCCCCGGTGCTACCAGCACCATGCCCGTACCGCCTGGCCCAGCGGGACGTGGCAGAGTTCCCGTTACGGGACCGAAATCAGATGCGGCACCCATCTGACTCGTACCGGCGGCACCTAAACTCATCGCAGCCTCATCTCGGTCAGCCCTGGTTCCGCTTCGGCCGAATTTACCACACACACACATCAGCGAGAGTGGGGTCAATCCATCTCTTCCGCATATTAATTTGGTCCATGAGCATACCGCGTATAGGCAGAGAGCGGGTATCTTGTGGTGGGGAATCGCACAAACCAGCCTAGCCAATCGCTGCAATCACGCTCTGCTCGCTAGTTCGTCATTGGCCTGCTTGGCTCCACTCTGCATATCCATGTTCCATGGCCTTTGGGGCCACTCATCGGTTCGGTGCAAAAAAAAAGGGCGATGCTTGCGACGTTTCGCGGCGTGGCCATGGCCGTGCCGTCCTGTTCAAGTGGCAACATCCTGGTGATAGGGCGAGACATTACCAAATCAAAGCTGTAAGCATAACTGACACACAGCTACTCACTACGCATACACACTGTGCCGTGCAAGCATGGCCCTTCCTTCGTGTCTGCCACCCTGTAGGTTGTGGTAGCGAGTGCTCCTTGTGCCATTGTGTTATACCTTCGTGACACGGCACAATTAGAGCATTATCCCACCACTACTTGGCATCTTCCCCTATACACAAAAACATGCTCGCCATACACGAACATTTTCAACATTTGGGTCAGGTTTCACATTTTAAGAGAAATCGATAGATAAATGTCATTCCATTTACCCGTAGTCTTCACTGGCTGTTGCAAATGACGACATACGTCCTAATCATGTGGCTAACATCTTCTTTTATTGGAGACAGGCTATCTAGAACATTGAAATCATGTCCCCCTCTGCATTTTTCTCCGTGCCACACTACACCCTTAAGACTTGATGCTGGCAAAGGAGGGATGGTTCTGAATGTACTGCTTCCAGGTAGTCAGTGGCTCATCGACAATCTGCCATTCTTGTTAGCCTCGCTCTATATCCGCATAAATGGTAACTCACGGCGTGGCTGGCGTCCAGCTTAGCACCGCCAAAGTAGCCCGAGACCGAGAAGAGCTGGTGGTTCTCGAGCATCTCGTCTTGGAACGACGCTGGCAGTCCGATGGAGCCCAGGATGCCCTTGTACACGTCCGCCGGAAGCTCGTTGTACGAAGCAGTGGCGGCAACCTTGGGGTAGCACTCCTTGAACTCATCCATGATGCGTGTGGGTGTGTAGTAATCGGTCGCGCCGTAGATGCGCTCCCCGAGGACCTTTTCCCGGTTGAGGAAGATGCCCTTGACAAACTTGCCCGTGTCGTCTTCTGCGTCGAAGAGGGGCATTGGCGCATCGGGTGGCGTGGGAAGGCCAAGACCCCAGCTGCCATCGGGCATCTCTCGGATCGACATGCCAGCAAGGTTGGACATGAAGTAACCAGCGAGGAAGAATGTGGCTGGAACACCAATCTTTCGAATGTACGCCTCGATTCGGCCTTGCTGTCAAAGTGATGGACATTCTTGAGCTTGCCCTTGGTAACTGCGTCCTCTATCAGCACACATCAGACGCACTTGGCTCAATTTTCACCTACGCTCCGTCACGTTCAGCAGACTGCTCCACACCAGATGCTGGACACCCTCGGCTTGGATATAACGGTCAACAACAACAACAACAACAACAAAACTACTCGCAAATAGTCATCATACCTTGCACGCATCAGCCACAGCTTTGCCTTGGACAATCTCAGGTGCTGCATTGAGCTTTTCCAGAAAGTTGGTCACAGAGAAGACGCCATATGCGCCCTTGATGGCTGGTTTGAGTGTTTCTGGCTTGTCTAGATCGGCCTATAGACATCAGTCAACACACTGCTAGAACATTGGCCTTGAATGCAGACATACCGAGACCAGCTCAGCACCGAGCGTCTCAAGAGCCTTTGCGCTCTCCTTTGATGTGTTGCGGGTGACAGCCCTGACGTGGAATTTGCTAGCCGACTTGGGGTCTTTGAGCAGAGACTTGACCACGGAGCCACCTTGCTTGCCAGTGGCACCGAAGACAACAATGGTTTGCTTAAGCATTGTGGGTTTGTAGATTTTGGTTGCGCTGTATTGAGATGATTTTTTCTGGTGCTTGTTCTCGCAAGACACTATCAAGCTTGAAATATCTTTTTTAAATAATTGACTGGCTCGAGACAGTTTTCGAGGTTCGCATCTGAATTTGTACTCACTCCCATCTCCCTTTCATCCAGCTCCTCTTTTCGACTAGTATTAGCGAACGCCTCCCAACGGCAGCGCCCTGACCCTGAAGCACGGCGCTATACCCTTTCTGCTCCATAGAGACCGGTGCATGAGAACAGGTGTCCCGGGCTTGGTCCGTGGCCTCCTCAGTCTTTGTAACGGTGCTCGGTCTTCGTCCTTGGTAAACACCGAATTGGACACGCATTTGGTGATCCTCAGCTACAACCCATCGCCTTTGCTTAGCAATCGCCCATGGAGCTGACACACCCGAGACGAAAATCCCGTTAGCTTGGCCCCACAATTGCTGCAGTTTGCGGCCCGAAACAGCCCCCAACGTTGCTAGAGCGACCCACCTGGGGGCTCATCGATACCGGATTTTGTTCTAACGTCGGTCTTCCTTCTGGAGTATTCCCGATGTCTGGGGAAATCGTATTTCACTATCGACATCCAGTACAAGCGTAGCCATGATAGCCACCAACTACATTCCTCGCACTGATAAGCTTCGGTTTCAAAAATCACTATCTTGTCTGCTATCGCCAACCACTCGGCAAAAAATCATCAACATCTAATTGATACCGTAACGCCTATATACCGTTGTCACATATAACAAATCTGAACCGTGTAATTGCCGCAATTTAATCATTTGATTCCTCCACGCATAACTCTAGCGCGACGTGACATCAACACCATGATTCATTGAATTAAATTGACAGCATTATCTATGCATGTTGCAGACCCCTGACTCCGTCATCCTGTATCAGGCAGGCGTGATCAAGGCATACGATTTGTTGAAAACATTGTTGGGATCGTACACTGCCTTGACCTCACGAAGCCGCTCAAGGTTGCTGCCAAAGATTTCACGGGGCTTGGCCGCCATAGCTACGGGAATATTGTCAGTGTCTGCTTCATAGACCCATATGATTGCGATATCTTACCGTCGTAATTTCCATACTCGCCAATCTTCTCGTTGGTCCCCTGGATCGCGAGCTCGAGTTCGGTCTTGGCCAGTTTGGCAACTCCTCTGGCCCAGACACGGACAGCAACATCATCCTCAGCCCGGTCCCAGAAGGGGCCAAACATGAGGTTTTGATGAGTGCCACGGTTGGCAAATGCCGTCGCGTCAGAGGCCACGCTGTTGAGTTTGGCCGTGTGGAAGAATTCGAAAAGCATTATCGACTTTTTGGACCCTGGGACTTGCGAGTGAAGCCGCTGCAGCTCTTCCATCAACGAGCGAACAAACGGCGCCCTCAGCGGTGTCTTGAAACATGCACCTTTTGATAGTTTCCTGCCACCGTAGTCGACTGCATGGTTCATTACGCTGTTCATCTCTCTGTAAGGGCGTTCCTTGACAGTGTTCACTCTCGGGGCAAGGTCCAGCAGTGGCTTGAATACTTTCAAAGCCTCGACCTCGGGTCCGTTATGGAACACTGTTGCAATCACGGCCAGTTCCTGCATGAAAGGCGGGTGAGTTATGCCCATAACCATGGCTGAATCTCCGCTGGTTGTTTCCAATAAGCGATTCGCAAAGTCAATCACGGCTTCCAGCCGGGTACTAGCTGGAAAGACCATTTGTCCGCCCCAGATTTGGTTTTTCTGTGGATAGGCCTGGAATGTGAATTCCACTGCAACGCCGAAGCAGTGGCCTGCCCCACGCACCGCCCAAAAGAGGTCGGGGTGCTCATCTTTCGAGACCGTCACAGTCGTGCCATCCGCAAGCACCATTTGCACGGATAACAGGAGATCGATGGTGAGACCATACCGTCCACTCAACCAGCCATATCCACCGCCAAGGGTTCTTGTCTCTTGTCAGCGATCCATGCATCAGGTAGTGTCTGTTCTGCAAAACCTACAAGCCACCCACACCTGTGTGGTTTATTGTACCGCCGACCATAGCTAGACCGTATTCGGCGGCAGCGTGGTCTACATCCTCCCAAATGCACCCGCCTTGAGCTTTGACAATGTTGTTCTCAGTGTCAACCTTTACCGCGCGCATCTTTCCACGGTCGATAACCAGTCCGCCGGTGCTGGAAGATGCTCCACTGGACGAATGTTTGCCACCGCATACCGCGAAAGACACGGAGTATTCCTGTGTCAGTTTCAAAGTTGTGGATATGTCTTCACTCGAGCCAACATAGACTACGATGCCCTGTTGCTCGAAATTAATATTCGTCACGTGACCATGGCAATAATCCTGTGGGCTTCCTCGGGCCTAGTGTAACTCACAGCTTGCATTTCAACTGCATCACTCCATCTTTGAATGCTTTTTGCATATCCTTCCGAATCCGGTGTCAACACTGTAGATTCTTTCAAACTGTCTCTCAGTTTTGCTGCGAGAAGCTTCACTCTCTCAACTTCCGGGAGGTCCTTCAGTGGTCGTGATGTTTCATGAGACACGGCAAGAACAGCCATATTGGAATCTTCAAATCTGGCAATATGATGCGTAAGAGGAGTGAAATTGGATATGCGAGATTATTTTTTTCCGAGTTTGCGTCTTCTTTTGCTTATTCCTCCCTTTAAGCTGCAAAATCCCTTACTCTTCTCAGACCACCGACCGCAACATACACGAGAATGCATCCTAGTCTGCCCGCAGCGACGCAGTCGATGGGACCGAGAATTGTGCAGAGCCGGAACCCGAAATTGGCCATACGCTTCGGTCCATCATTGCCGAGCAATGGGCAGCAAGCCGACATACGCCATCAGTAGGAACTGCTACCGCTGGTAGTTGCATAATGGTTTTTCGTCTCAATTTTCAGGCCCCCGATGCCGAGCAAGCATATCCGGATATATGCCGACGATCTAGACCTGGCATTTCTCTACCCCGAAATCTCTCTCCTTCGGTCTATGACAGGCTCGATAACGCTTCTGAACCATGTCTTGCTCCACTTGCCCCCAGAAACCATGTTATTATTGTTTCTGTAGGACGAATCACGGCTAGCAGGGCGTACCCATCCGTCACAACGGAATTGAGAAGTCATGATGGAGAACATGGATGTTTAGTAACGTTTGTAGGTCGGCCCACATGATGCTAATTTCTATTTGTAGTTCTATTACTTGCTATATCGCTCTAAATTCTCACATTTCAAGCTTCTCAAAATAATTCTAACGCAATTTGTATAGTTCATCTGACCTATGTGGAAAAGATGTCTTTGTGCGGCAGTACACCCGTGTGCAGGGATATCAACTCACATTATCTGGGTCGCCTCCCGTATCACTAATTCCACCGGGCCATCATACCCGATTTGTCATACCGTTAAGATGATTGCACGGCTCTAACCATTCAAATCTCGACCCTTTATCGTTCGGTGCAGTAAACCGATTGTGGGCCATATCGTGTACCGAGCGTACGGCGTTACTCTAGGCCAAAAACTCTCCGACTAAACTTGCTTCGGTGCCAGAACCCATACAGATGCAGCGATTGCAGCTCAGTACAATACTCTTCATGCGAACGCGCCCAAGGACTCACAACAACACCTCTTCAAGTCGAGCTACTTCCTGTATGTTCCTTTCTTGTCTATAGCACTTTGCCCCCAATTCTCTTTTGGAACTGTAGATCTCGCTTGAGGTGTATTACTCTTTTGCAGTATGGCTATTGTCTTGTTTCCCGACCATGTCACGGACACCCGGAGCATTCTCCGACAGGTACACGAAGCGAGGAACACGTCGACATTGGTGAAATCCTTCCTCGAAAAGGCTTATCACGCACTTCGGCATGAAACCTGGAACTTAAATCCTGATGTCAGGCATCACATACCGCCTTTCAATAGTGTTTTCGATCTCAGCGAGAGATATGCAGCTTGTGAGGTTCAGCGGTTAGAAGTCTCGAGTGCTCTTCTCTGCATTGCTCAACTAGCTCAATATATCGGGTACGCATGACCCAATGCCTTGAAAGCTAAAGCCCCATTGCTTATCTTTGTAGTCATAACGAACGAAATGACCAGCTTCGTCTAGACGCCAACTCGGATCTACTTGTAGGCACTGGCATAGGTCAACTTTGCGCTGCTGCTGTTGCGTGTACAGCTACTGTTGTCAAACTTCCTGACCTTGCCGCTGAAGCAGTCCGACTGGCATTCCGTATTGGTTCTGTTGTCGAGACATATTCTGTCCAGAATCAACGTTCTGCACATTCAAATGAGAGTTGGAGTATAAGTGTCCCAGTTCCTTTCGAGAAGCTTCAGGAAGAACTACAAACTGTACAGGACGATGCAGTAAGTCTATATCGCAACATGCTATCAATGATCAATATCTGACTCTTTCAGAACCTCTCAGTTGCTGGGAGAGCCTTCATTACCACTGTCGGCATCTCAACATGTATAATCAGTGGTAACCCCAGGCGTCTGGAGTGGCTAATGCAGAACTCGGGGCTATTAAAGTCTGTCCAGTGCCACAAGTTGCCAAGCACAGGAGTCTGGCATGCAGAGCATGTTTACGATGACGAGCATGTGGCAGAGATTATCGATGCGCGAGCACATGCTATCCGAAACTTCCAACTGTCGCCAAAATCAATCATCTCGACAAGAACTGGAACGTTTTCGGAAGCAGACACAGCTTTGTCTCTATTCACAGAAGCCACCCAAAACATCCTGCGATACCCTATTCAATTTTCCACAGTTGCGGCAACCATCGCCGGTAGTCTGAGCAAGCAAGATGCCCCCTCAGTCCAGCTGTTGGGATTCCAGGATTGCGACATGACAGAGAGCCTCAGAGTGTTTGCTGAAACTCAAACAGCAAAGTCAGTTACGGTTCAAAGTCTCGGAGATTGGTCATTACCTACGCAGCCTTTACCGTTCAGAAGCGGCTCATCAGATCCCGCAATTGCTATCGTCGGCATGTCTGGTCGCTTTCCAGGCGCTCCTGATGTTGACCATCTATGGGATCTTCTTATCCAGGGCCGGAATATGTACCGAGAGATACCAAAAGATCGATTCAACGTGGAGACACACTATGATCCAGAAGGAAAGAAAAACAACTCAAGTCACACACCATACGGTTGCTTTGTTGAGGAGCCAGGCCTCTTTGATTCTCGATTCTTCAGCATGTCTCCCAGAGAAGCCACCCAAACTGACCCCATGCATCGGCTTGCATTGGTCACAGCATATGAGGCACTGGAAATGTCTGGTTTTGTGCTTGATTCGACGCCTTCATCACAGAAAGATCGTGTTGGAACATTCTATGGTCAGACAAGTGACGACTGGAGAGAGGTTAATGCCGCGCAAAACATTGAGACATATTTTATCCCAGGTGGTGTGCGGGCATTTGCTCCAGGTCGAATCAACTACCACTTTGGCTTCCGTGGCCCTAGCTACAGTGTCGATACTGCCTGCTCCTCCAGCTTGGCCGCTATCCAGGTCGCATGTTCGGCCCTCAAGTCAGGAAAGTGCGATACCGCAGTTGCAGGTGGAGTCAATATTCCAACTGCACCTGATATTTTTGCTGGTCTTAGGAAAGGCCAATTCTTTTCAAAGACTGGTTCTTGTAAGACGTGGGACAGCAAAGCAGATGGATACTGCAGGGCTGATGGCGTCGGCTCCATCGTTTTGAAAAGGCTCGACGATGCTGTTGCGGATAAAAACAACATCCTCGGTGTCATCCTCTCCACTGCCACTAACCACTCCGCCGACGCAATATCCATCACGCACCCGCATGCCGGAAACCAAGCGTCGCTCTACCGGAGCGTCATGCATGATGCTGGTATTGACCCTGTCGATGTGAGCTATGTCGAGATGCATGGTACGGGAACACAGGCGGGAGACATGGCCGAGATTCGCTCAGTGTCCGAAGTGTTTGCTCCTCAAGGATCGAGAGGTTCCAGTGCCGACAAGGCCCTCTACATTGGGTCTGTCAAAGCCAATATTGGTCACGGCGGAGCAGCTGCAGGTATTGGAGCGCTCATCAAAATCCTTCTTATGCTTCGACAAAGCGTCATACCTCAGCACATTGGCATTCAACACGAGATCAACCCTCGCTTCCCGGACCTTCAGAGCCTCAACATGCGTGTGCCCTTTGACAACACACCATGGCGCTCCCAGAATGGTCTTCGGAGGATAGCATTCCTCAACAATTTCAGCGCCGCGGGTGGCAATACCGCGATGCTCATTCAAGAAGGTCCTGAGAAAGAGCAACAATCTCTGGAACCAGACCCACGTACTTGGCTTCCATTTGTCACTTCGGCAAAGTCCTTGTCCTCACTAAAGAAGAATGTCCAGCGACTGATCGATCATCTTGGGTCGATCTCACAGAAGGATTTTTCGAGTCTGTCTTACACGTTGACCTCACGTCGTATGCATCACAACTACCGCGTTGCTGTAACTGTAAGGAATCTCGACGAACTGAAAACTTCACTGGCAAAAAGGGTTCAAGAAGGAGACATTTCTCCGATTCCATCGGCTTCTCCGGAGGTGACGTTTGTCTTCACCGGACAGGGAGCATTCTATGCTGAGCTTGGAAAAGCTCTCATGGAGAGTTCAAAGCAGTTTCGATCGACCATTCAACATCTCGATAAAGTATCGCAAGGTCAAGGGTTCCCCTCTTTCCTTCCTGCGCTAGCAGTGGCCGAGACAGAAACACTATCCCCCACCGTCGTTCAGCTCGCACTTGTATGTGTCCAAATCGCTCTCGTGCATCTGTGGAGGTCATGGGGGGTGGTACCATCCCTAGTTATTGGTCACAGTCTCGGCGAGTATGCTGCACTCTACACAGCTGGAGTTCTTTCCATGGAAGACACCATCTACCTGGTAGGGGCACGCGCGCAGCTTATGGAGGCCAAGTGCAAACAAAACACACATGCTATGCTCGCCGTGAGAGCTTCGGAAGAAGATGTCAAACTTGCTGTTGGAAATCTGCCGTTCGATATTGCATGCCTAAACTCGCCGGGTGACACTGTACTCGCTGGTACAGCCGAAGAGATAGCTGTGTTATCTGGCGCTCTGAAAGAGAAGGGGCTGCAATGCACCCAACTCAATCTGCCCTACGCGTTCCACTCCGCTCAGGTCGACCCAATTCTTTCACCTTTCGAGAACCTCGCTGCCGAGGTCATATTTACGAAGCCTCAGATACCCGTTCTCTCTTCTCTTCTTGGGGATGTTGTAAATTCTGAGGGGATTTTCAATGCGCAATACCTATGCCAACATGCAAGGGAGTGTGTGGACTTTGTTCAAGCACTCGAAATTGGCAAAATTCAAGGGCACATCACCGCAAAAACGGTCTTCCTTGAGATTGGACCACATCCCATCTGCTCGAAGATGGTGAAGAACACCCTCTCGCCAACTGCTTTGACTGCGTCTTCTTTGGTGAAAGGCGAACAATCTTGGAAGAGCCTCTCTACTGCCGTATGCGCTCTGCATTGTGCGGGTATAGCGATTGACTTCCGCGAGTTTCATCGTGACTTCGAGTCTTCTCACACGCTTCTCGACCTTCCGTCTTACAGCTTTGATAACAAGAATTACTGGATTGACTATGTCAACGACTGGTGCTTGCACAAGGTGGAGCCTCGCAATGTCAAGGCTATTGAGGGTCCTCCTTCCCCTCCTCAGAGTAGATTATCGACATCTTCGGTGCACAGAATCACGTCTGAAAGCTTCCAAAATGGCCGAGCAACTGTCACATCCCAATCGGACCTTTCTGATCCGACTTTGCGGGCTGCCGTGCAAGGGCATCAAGTCAACAACACAAGCCTTTTCTCTTCGGTAAGATGCATCACTATTCACAATAGAGGGAAAGCTAACCGCTCTTAGTCCATCTACGCTGATATCGCTTTAACACTCGGAGATTATGTGTACAAACGTATGAACCCAGAAAAGCCTGCTATAGGCGTCAGCTGTGGTGATATGGAAGTCTTCAAGCCCCTGATCATCAAAGGCAGCGATGCCGACACCCGCGTCTTAGAAGTCACGATAGAAGCCGATCTGGATCAAAGAGAAACTAAGGTTCGCCCTTAGACCGTTGATGCCGTCTCCAAGCAATCAGTCCTGCATGCCACATGCGTGGTTACATTCGAAGATACCGCTGCATGGACAAACAGCTGGAACAATATGGCATACCTCATCGAGGGACGGATTGATACCCTCAAGGAGCGACTGGTCAAGAATCAAGCAGACAAAATGTCACGTGCGCTTGTATACAGGCTCTTCTCATCCTTGGTGGATTACAAGCTCCCCTATCAAGGCATGGAAGAAGTGATCATTGACGGAGCCAACTTCGAGGCCACATCTCGCGTTGCATTCCAAACCAAGAGCGAGGACGGAAATTTTTTTTGCAACCCTTACGGGATCGACAGTCTTATGCATCTCGCTGGCTTCATTTTAAATGGCGGCAGCGGAGTCGACGCAAAACAATTCGTTTACATTTCGCATGGATGGAAAGCGTTGCGATTTGCGGTGCCACCTCAACAAGACAAGGTTTACCATTCGTACGTCAAGATGCAACCAACTGGCGAGAGCAACATCATGGCTGGAGATGTTTACGTGTTTGAGAACGGAAAAATCATAGCCATGTGTGTGGGACTCAAGTTCCAACGCATTCCGCGCACTGTCCTCAATACCTTCTTGCCGCCACAAGTGTCTTCTCTTGACACTGTAGCGCAACCTCGAATCGAAAAGAAGACAGAAGCCCCGGCGAACATCACTGCCAAGAATCTGTCGACCCGCCCAAAAGTGGAGAAAGTCAAAGCAGATCTTCACAGACAACCGCCATCAACGGTAACACTGGTGATGGACGTCATATCGGCGGAGTCGGAACTGCCACTTTCGGAGTTGCATGATGATTGCATGTTTTCGGATCTCGGTATCGACTCCCTGCTATCCCTTCAAATTCTTGGTAAGCTCCGAGAGGACTTGGACCTTGACCTTCCTGGGGATGTATTCGTTAAATGCGAGACCATTGGAGACCTAAGGAGATACTTGGGCGACATCCAGGGAGACGACGGCACATCCTCAGCTTCATCGTCTGCATCACCAGTATCCACGGCTGTGACGACTCCTTCAATAATGTCTGACGAGGAGAACTCTGTCTTTGTGGATGCTCCTAATGGCATGTGTGACCCACTACAAGCGTCACTCCAAATGGTCAAAGGCGAATCTTCTGGTGCTAAACTCCTATCGTTTTTCAGAGAGACGATCGCAGAGCAGATGGATATTGCCATGGAGGAGGTGGTTGGATCCAACGATCTACTCTCTCTGGGAATGGATTCACTCATGAGCATTTGTATCCTTGGTATCATTAGGGAGAAGACCGAGCTCGACTTACCCTCGGACTTTTTCCAAAAGTACACCTGCATTGATGAGATTGAGCAATTCCTCAATCCCGTTCCGATAGAGAAGCCTAAGGGAGCAGACAGAGTCTCTCGCGCAACACGTGGAGGCACAACTCGTGGACAACGAGAAACTTCTCAACCAACAAGCCGACTGCCACGGGCGGTCTCCATGCTGCTGCAAGGCAAACCGCGCACCGCGTCCAAGGTTCTCTTCTTGATTCCCGATGGATCTGGATCAGCCACTTCGTATGCCAGCATCCCTGCCATTGATCCATCGATCGCAGTGTATGGCTTGAACTCGCCGTATATGAAGTCGCCGTCACTATTCACCAACGGAATCCCAGGGATTGCCACTCAATACTTGGAAGAAGTCCGCCGCAGGCAGCCAGTGGGACCATACCACCTTGGCGGTTGGTCTGCCGGCGGTGTTGTCGCTTATGAGATGACGCTTCAACTGATGGCAGCTGGTGAGCGAGTTGAGTCGCTTTTTCTCCTTGACTCACCTTGTTCCATCGCACTAGAATCTCTGCCGTCACGACTTCACCACTTCTTTGCCGAGATTGGGCTCATTGGCATTGATGAAGGGAGCAAGGTTCCTGACTGGCTCCTCGACCATTTTGAAGCTAGCATCAAAGCTCTTACAGCATACGAGCCCCAGCCCATTTCAGACAATCATATGTCTCTGGCACCTCGTACCATGGCTGTTTGGGCTCGCTATGGTGTGTGCAGATACCCTGACAGCCCGCGGCCCGAGGTCAAGGGCGACGAACCCAAGAGCATGAACTGGCTGCTCAACAATCGTACTGACTTCGGGCCCAATGGCTGGGAGGCACTCTTGAAGAGTGTTGAGATTCAGACAATGACCATGGAGGGCAACCATTTCACACTTATGAAGGAAAAGGATGAGGTGAGCTATTAATTTCCCAAGTTACTTTTAGATCAGTCGCTAACACTCATCCAGTTGAAAGAGCTTGCTTCCGCTATAAGAAAATTCTTGTAGCATGTTTAGCACATTGAGACAAACGTTCGGGGTTCTGGTAGTGCTTTTGTTTCTTTTTGGGGAGCTATTGTTCTGATAGTGTGTATGTTAGATTGCAAAAAGTCTTTTTCGGGTGCACGGTTACAAGATTCCCATGCTTCTCATATATTTGCTCTTAATGTTTCAGATTGGCGCATGTTCAGTAGCATAGAAACCGCTGAGAGTGCAACATGGTTAGGAGATGGGACTGAGATGCACAAGGAGTTTGGTTTGGGGCCAGCGCTTCATTGCCAACATGATAGCGAAGAATTTCTGCATTCGATGCTATATAAATAGATTCAATATCAGGAATCAGCGGTAATCAATCCCACAGTGTATTTATTGTTCTATTCTTTGTTGCGTTATGTAGTTAGGTGAAGATGAGACGGAAAGTGCCTATTAAGCGATGCGCCACAATACTGCTTTTGCAAGTACAGATACCATTCCAAAAATTATATTCTCACTGCAAAGTACGCTAGAGTCGACTAGGATACGAAGAACATAAATTGTTCAGCTCTTGTCAACAGTCTTTCCGCTCGCTACGTTACCGTGAATCGCCGATTGTCAAGGCGATCGACGTTAACTACCGATATGCCAACTCTACTTGTTTAAGCAAAGAGCTAAGGCATATATGGTGTTGCGACTGGTGAAGACGTTGTCTAGTGTAATCATCATGCCAAGTCACCCTGTGCTCTGCAAGGCGTGTGAAAGAATGGCTTTTTGTCCAGTGCTCCATGGATATAGATTACCCTTATCTAATGTACCTAACAAAGATTTTATGTAAATTTGCTTCTATTCTAAAGTTGAATTGTTCGTGCGCGTTGTTCATATTAGGGTTCGGTGCTCACAAGGAGCAAGGCACTACAACATACACTTCGAATTCTAGTACCGTTTGAAGGTTACATACTTTCTATACAAATTAGCTTGAAGAAATCTCCAAAAGCTATTTATGGTAGGTTTCATGTGATGCCTAACTTCAAAATATAATCGTTCACATATATGAATTGTATAAAGTCCATTGTTCAATAAACATACATATCCCAGTTCCGGAGATCCTCCTATAACTTCACTATAGCAATGACAACTTCTATACTGAATGATATTTAGAAATCGAGTAATAATCTGTATAGATTCAGGAGTCGTAGAGATAGATCTTAACTGCACTAGAAACTCAATTAGAATGATAGCAGTGTATGACTTGAAATCAAAACTTACGCAGTATCGAATGATATTTGCGTTGTTAGGTGACGCTTTATGATATATACAGAGTGGACCAAGGGAACCAAGGGACTGGCCTCGTGATACATCGCACTACTCTTGATATTAGAGCAAGCGAATCTCAGTAGCTTAACAATGGCTCAACTTACAAGATAACCATTGTTATACTTGGTAGGTTAGTGATTGGAGGTTTTAATCAGATAGTATAGGTCTACTTACAGGAGAGTGGCAAAGCTCTGGCATGGTACCTACAGCACATGTGTTTGGAGTAGTAACTTGGGCGAGTGCGCACGTGAAAAGTGAAAGAAAAGCTAGCTTCATTTTGACAATCATTGCAGAAAACTACGCAGAAGCTTGAGAAGGGTTGTTGACATGGCAATGGATCTGTGTCTGCTAATTCAGGCTCTCTTTATATGAATTGAGTAGATTGTAATAGGGAGTCTGGAAATATAGAGCAGCAGACAAATACCGGAGTAGAACACAATCCAATTACACTTGCTGTTATTTTTATTGAGTACTTCAAGGTATACTAAGTGTCAGCTGAGGTAAGACCTTTTTATCCCCACTATCTACATGATTGCTGTTTTATTACTGGCTGTCATAGCTAGACTATAGCTATATAAGCGCTAGCTAGGCCAAGGCTCAGGTCGCCAAGAGCCAAGCAATCAATTGCGTACCCTTCTATCTGGCTATTTGTAAACTCCAGAAGTGATACGAGTTTGTTAAAGTTTGATGATATGGGATGGAGACGCAATACCCAGCTTCCATGCGTGATAACGTATGTGGCAACACACACACCAACTTTTAAGCAGAAATCTTTCATCAAAACTCGTCAATTTTCTATCAGATATAGGGGTAACACGTCGCGAGAAACTGATTTACGCCACCTCTAATGTGTGCAGCCCTCTCGTTGAGGTGCTAGAGGGGGTATTGTTGGTATTCTTGCGACGTGTTCGAAATGCGAAAATCTTCGAGAACGCACAGACCGCCCCAATGACTAATAGGGAGACTACTAAACGAAACCAAAAACAATTAAAAACACTAAATAAAACAACAAAAATCAAAAATCCTATATCTAAACGCCGAGACAGCCTAATCCCGCTATGGCACCATATCCAACCGCTAGGACAGTCTTTGCCTACTGTGGCACAAAATTCAAAAACGCTATAACAGTTTTCTGGTCTGTAATAGCAAAATAAGTCGAAACGCCAAGACAGTCTTACGCCTACTCGTGGCACCAAATCCAAACGCTGATACAGAGACTGGTTACCTCTGTAGAAGCACCAAGTCGAAACGCCAAGACAGCTGCTACTCGCT